CATATTTTTTTATTTGCATTTTCAAATTTTGGCGGCTAACTCAGCCTTAGGCAAAAAAGCAAATAGATGAAATCTGTCTTTGATACCCTCCCCTGCCCATTTCTACACTTTTACTCTATTCCCACTTCAAATACCTTCCCCTCAGCTGGGAGTTTTTTCACCTGTGTCTCCAGGCCCTAGTTTCTTCAGTTATCAGATAACTGAAATGTAAATCAATGTACACTAAAATGTTAGAGACTGAATAAGTCACTCCACAGAGGAAGGAACAGGTACATTCTTGGAGAACTGTCAGTCATTGCTCAATCTACCAAAAGATAAATTCTAGGAAACTGGGAAGAGGAGAGAGTCTGGTGAATTCTCCAGAAGCCAAGATTTCATTATATGGGTGGCTATCTATTCAATGTATTGATCTTTGAAACTTCAAAAAATAATTGGGCAAGAGGAATTTCCTAAGTCCTTCAAATAAAATGGCATCTTCTTACCAGCCTCAAACCTTATCTCAGTACAGTGCTGCATAAAAGAAAAAAAAAATCAGATGACCCTACGTACCAAAGAATAATATATGAGTTTACTGAAATGTCTTGAAGAGGCAGCAAAAAAAAAAAAAAAAAAAAAAGGAACCAGGAATACAACACATAATACAAATAAATTTTTATCTATAATCTTCTTTGGATAGATTTTTTTCTCTGAACTCCCATGAATTGAAGCAATCAATCCTCTAATTTTTCTATCCCCATGTATCCAAAGGCACTCCCAGCTTTCTGTTCCATTATTGAACTCCAGGAGAAACACTTTCTTATGTTAGCAGAATTCTTTCTATGTTGCATTTCTATCCAGTAGCCTACTCAGTAGATCAGAACATCAGGAACATAGCAATGATAACAAAGAATTCCCCTTAAAAGGTGGAGGGGATTAAAAACAATAAGCATATGTTTTTCAATAATTTTGCTCCTTTAGCATAAAAGTAATAACATTACCCCCCCCGCCCCCAAATAAAAGTCTTTCTTTGAGACCATTTTATCCCAACCAAGGTTGATCCTTATTCAGACCTCTGAAGAGTAGCAAGTATGCAAATAAATGGCACACTGGAAGATAAATTGCTTAAGTCTAGGTACATACTGACTTCTCAGAACACCATTCTCCATGCTGTTGGCTTAGCAAACTAAAACTCCCACTGGAAGAGTCTTCTGTTAACTCACACACAGAAATGGATTCTCAGGCAGAGACTGCTAGTTCCCATCTCCTTATTCCATTATTCTCTTGTAGTGTCATAACAACAAAAAAACCCTCAAAAACCAAAAAACAAAACAAAACAAAACAAAACCCTCTCCATTTTAGCTTAAGGCATGGCCACACACAGGAAAGAATATATTTCCATTTCTCACATACCTTATACGAGCCCAAAGGATAAATGCATCTTGTGAGCTGTGCTCTGAAGAGAAACTTCAGCACCTTCAACTTCTCACTTCCCCTTTCCTGCTGGCTGGATTGCTTACAGAAAGTAAACGAAAGTGAGGATGTTGGTGCGAACCACAGTGGACCATGTGGATGGATAAAGTGACACACTGGCAATGGCAAGGCAACAAGACAGAAGGAACCTAGAACCTTGGCGATATGTAACCACGATTGCACACTTGCAATTTTATGCCCAGAATGTCAGCTATGGGAAAAATGATTTTGTTTTATTTGGGGTATCAGGCGACCTTCATCATGTCCACTAGCACCTTATGCAGGCTCTTCTTGACACACTGATCACTCTGCATTCAATAAGTGTTGGTTTTCTTCTCTGTAGAATTGTAAATTCAGAGCAAGCAGAATATTTTGTTAATACCTGTATTCTAGTGTTAGGTACACCATATATTTGCAATAAGTATTGGCTGGCAGGATAAATAGATGGACAGATGGGTGGATGAATAAATGAATGAAATAGATAACTGATCATGTGATCAGTTTGTTTTCTTTCAGATTCAGATATTTTCCCCTTATGAATTAATAGAGTTTTTGAAGGGAGTTTTCAGATTTGGACCATAACATTTAAATTAAAATTAAACTTTGAAACAAAAATGCTATAAAAGATAACAAAGGTGGTAATTTTCTAAAATGACTGATGTGTGTGCTATATAATTAATGATAACACTTACTTATCAGGTGGGAGTCTCTTTGCATCAACAATCTCTCTTCAAAGTCTTAGGGCCAGTACTAGTTCTGTTTTTATCTTCCCCATTTTTATCAAGGTGGTCTTCTGATAGTAGTAGAAGCTCTAAATATAATGAGCTGCAAAATTCCCCTACACTCATATAAATCCAGTTTCTAATGTACAAGCTCTCCACACTCAACTGTTACTACCACACTCCTCTTACTGTTCATCTATCTCCATCCCGCTTCATTCTCATGGTCACACGTTGCTGTGCACTGCTATATGGGAGAACCTTCGTGATCAGTCATGAAAACCAAACATGTCATTTATACATTACAGTTTGCACTTGGTACAGAGTAGTTATCTGGGCCAAAAGGACAGTTTCACCTACTCCTTACTCCCCCAGGATATGTCTGTCGCCTAGATTCCTCTGCTGATGCTGTCTGCAGATACTGGTACGGAACGTGGCTTTGATGTTCCAAGAAATACCTTTCGTCTCAAGATGCTGCTTGGCTCCATGCCATGACTGGCAACATTTTCCTGAATTTTCTGACCACCAGTAGCTATACTGTCCAATCTAACTGCATAGTTTGCAGGACAATCATACTTTTGAATCTGTATTTTCCTTTTTGGGTTGTTCTTGACCTTCAGTTTCTTCTGTTCTCTCTCTTTTGGTAAGTTAGACATTACTTAGCCTGTCCTAAGAGTCCAGACATAAAGAATAGCAGTGAGGGAGAGTAACTCTGGGAGTACTCCTATTACTCCATGCCCCTTCTCTGGTTTCACCCTCCTCAAGACGTGCGAGCGCGTGAACACACACACACACACACACACACACACACACACACCCTCACTCTGTGACCTTTCTCAGTTTTCCTTTCAAAATTCCTCCCTTCTATAACTATGATGGGACAAGAGTGAAATGCTCACGCTTATTTTGCAAAAGCTGCAGCTGACACTTAAAATGCTGCTGTACTTGCAGAAAAATCTTCAATATTTGTTCTTCTTTAATTCTTTCACCAGTCCACTTTATGTGGTTTACTCTGATTATTAAACAAGACCTATAAAATACAATCCTGGCCTTCAGAAGTTTTATTCTAAGAACGAATACATATTCAGGAAGTCCTGTATCCATGCGGCATTTTCTTCACTGTCACAGCCTATGTTTATCAGTCTACAACATGCCATCATGTTACTGTATCTCACTCCTCTGTGTCCTGAAGTTTGAGATCGAGACCTTAGCAATGTTGACTAAAAGGAATCTGAATAAGTTATGTTGCTTTCTGTTTTAAACAGACAATTCATTTCAGATACCGCTTTGCTCATATACAAATTCTCAACCCTGTGGCTAGCAGCGCTTATCTTTTCATCTGATGGACTTTTTTTTTTTTTTTCATTTTTGCATTAGTGCCAGTAGAGTTTTCTTTAATCATGTATCTATTACGTACAGGATCGGCTATGAAAACACCATATGGCCCTCACACATATAGAAATAGTAGGAAAACTGGGGCGCCTGGGTGGTTCAGTCAGTTAAGCTTCTGACTTCAGCACAGATTATGATCTCGTGGTCCGTGGGTTCGCGCCTCGTGTCAGGCTCTGTGCTGACCACTTGGAGTGTGGGGCCTGCTTCAGATTCTGTGTCTCCCCCTCTCTCTGCCTCTCTCCTGCTTCCATTCTGTCTCTCTCTCAAAAATAAAACATTATAAAGAGAAAGAGATAGTAGGAAAACCATACACAAATGTACTCACTTTTCCTCAGCGAACCCACACATTATAGTGTCCAACTCTGATAACCCAGCTTTTTTTTTTACCACCTTTTATATGGTAATTTGTCAAACTTATAGCTATCTTATTCCATTGTCTATTAGCTCAGTTCAAATGCTACCATTTACTAGGCTTTACTCAATATAATCCTCTCAATTTTCCCTACTGAATTTCAAGTTTCATTCCTCACATATCCTCCAAACCTCATTTCATACGATTGTGCCAATACATTTCAAATTGATAGGGTTCAATCCAGAAAAATAAATGGCAGGGGGCTGAAACATGACTGAAGAAACTATTTGCCCAGACTACATCTATCAGAATACTTGGAAAATAAACTGTGGGTCTGACCATTTTTAATTTTCTTTATGATGAATCCAAGGTAAATGTCTTAGATATGTGTGCTGTGATAAAGCATCCTCTCAACGTGGGAACTATTAAGTTACTTCTGTTTAGTAAAAGGGCATGCTAAGTGTCTTTAGCATGTTTTCTTAAGACAATTACAGATGATACAGGCCTTCTCACATGAAAATGTTTAGGCACCTGGCACAGTCACAGAAATAACTGCTTTCCATATTTTGATTATATGAATTAAAGTGTTGTTATTTTCACCTTTTCAAAAACCTCTTTAAAGATGGTGAAGAAGTAAAACCAGTCCATATCCTGGGTGCTTTGTGTTACAGTAAGCCAGAGGTGGCAACCATGGTGCCTACAAACAATTCAGCAATTAGAAAGGTGAAAAATGGTTAAATGGATAGCAATGAAGAATTATTTAAAAACATTTTTTAATGCGTATTATTTTTGATAGAGACAGAATGTGAGAGGGGGAGGGGCAGAGAGAGAGAGAGAGGGAGACACAGAATGTGAAGCAGGCTCCAGGCTCTGAGCTGTCAGCACAGAGCCCAACTTGAGGCTCGAACCCACGAACTGTGAGATCATGACCTGAGCCGAAGTCAGATGCTTTACCGACTGAGCCATCCAGGCGCCCCTTGAAGAACTATTTTTAAACTGATGAAATGATTTACTATAACAACCCATCTTGAACATATGTATTTTAATTCTGAAATGGAATGATTAAATTTAATTATTTCAGATGTATTCTTCCACCCAAAATTGAAACCAATGAAGTGAGAAGTACAGGAAGGGTAGTGTTAGAAGCAGCAGGTCTGCTTGTACCAGAAAAGGAAATGGAGGCCACGAGCTCTGCAGAGACACCAGACCAGCCAACTACACAATGGGATGATCAGATTGAGGACCACACTGAAACCAAACAAATGAATAATTGATAAGAATATCAAGTGAGTAAAGCAGCAGGTCAGAAAAGCATGAGCCACTAAATTAGAAAGACAAGTCCTGAATGCCTAAGTCCACCTCATTCAGCTTTTCACCATGGTTACCCATCATTTTTGTTTAGAATCTTCAGAGTACTTTAAATCAGCAGGGTAAATGAGAGATATTTTCTTCATTGATCCCTACTCACCTGGCCCCAGATACGCCGATATGTGCCAATTACTTTTTCTATTAAAAATAAAGCTCAGTAAAAATCACAAGGGAATTTCAAAGTTTCCTTACATATGGTACACTCTGAAGACAAAAAGGAAACTCTATTAGGTTTTTTAAAAAATTCATATATTAATAAGTATTTAATGCATAATTGGCCTAGATCCACTGGCAAAAACTGTCTATGTAATATAAGCCACATAAATCCTTCCACATAAAAAATTATATTTATTTATCACTGTGTTAGCTGGAAGTAGGAAGGTATGTTTTATTTTATTTTGATGTCCTTGTTAGCTACAGTAAAAATGAGACTGTAACATAATGAATTTTCTAGAGGCAGTTGTGTGTGTCTGTGTGCATGTGTGTTTGCACGCACACGCGTGAGCACCTGTATCTGTTTCTGTGTGTGTGTGTGTGTATGTGTGGTTTTTAATTGTTTTAGAAAGAGAAGTTAAATTTTGGATCCTTTGTATTTCCTTCTTTTTTTCCCTAGAAGTCCCCAGAGAATTCTAAAAACACATCTGCGATTTTGGTTCTTCTCTTTAAGTAAAATTACATAAATATTTTCACTTACAGTAAACATCCCTCCAGGCTTGGTGTTGCTATTGCTGTTATTTATATTCTCTAACCTTCTACAAGATACTTTTACTGTGAATAAAGAGGTCTTTTAAAAATTCACTTAGTAGCTGACCCCATTTACCAATATGCATGGTCTCAACACTATTACCAGGGGAGAGGTTTCTACTGAAGTCTCTGTCAAGAAGTGCATAGATTCAATGAGCATTTATTGAGCATCTTCTCTGTGTCGACCATATGAATATGACACCAGTCAGTCCATACCTGAGAAGTACCAGCTCTTATCAGAGGTTGTTTGCATATACTGCATATTCACATACACACTCAATCATTCATTTAGTAGGTACCTAATGGTACAGTAATAAGTACCAGGAACTGTGCTGGTCCAGAATTAGAAATATAAATACAACATATATTCAAGCTTTTCGCTGCTCACACATTAATAGGAAAGAGGGGCATACCTACCAAAAAACCTCTATGAGAAGTGCATTAAGGGAAATTTGTCAAAGATACTACAATTGCACAGGGTAAAGATACTGAGCTTTGTACAGGGCCCTCGAGGAAATCTGTACAACCAGTGGGCATGCTTGAAGCTAACAAATAAGGAATGTGATTTTCTCATTCATTTGGGCAGCAAGTTTCCTACAAGTGTGTCTCAATCCATCCCCCTTCAGACCACCCACCAAATGTCTCTGTTTCTGGGCACAGTTACCACTTGGCATCTGCTGAGATGTGTAGCAAGGGTATTAATTACTGCTCACTATGTGATTAATGTGGCTGATAGTTCTTGATGAGGTCAGTGTGTTCTGTGGATCTTAGATTAATGATTCCGATATGACAGACAGCAAGCCACTAAATGGTTACCAGGTGGCAAAAATATTGTGTTACCCTAGGCAGAACCAAACAGAGTAACATAGCTAAGAAATCAACTCATAGAAAGATCAATTACTTGAAAACAGTTTCCCCACATTTTACCACATAATTTAATTTTTCACATATTTATATTTAGGAAACAAAGTGACTTCTCAACTGTTCTCTATAAAATCCAAATAAGTTATGTGAAAGGGGTGCCTAGGTGTCCCAGTCAGTTAAGTTTTGACTCCTGGTTTCAGCTCAGGTTTCCTGGGATCAAGTCCTGTGTCAGGCTCTGCACAGACAACACAGAGCCTACTTGGAATTCTCTCTCCATCTCTCTCTGCCCCTCTCCTGTTCCCTCTCTCTTTCAAAATAAATAAACAAACTTTTTTTTTAAATTATTTGAAGACAAAACATAGATTTGCCTTCAATGAAGCATAGGGGGGAATATCAGGTTTAGTCTGCACTGTCTCACCACTGGACAGAAGGAGCCACATAAATGTTAAGTAATTCAACCTTACTACTTACATATCTAAACACTTAACCATTTAGATAGACTAAGCATATTTATGAGAAGACAGCAGAAGATATTTCCTGAGATTCTGTAGGAAAATTCTATTTGTATACTGTCTTAAATGAAGTACTTTACTAAAAAAAAAGGTTTTTAAAAGATTTTTAAAAATTAAAAAAAAGAAACAACCAAAAAAAAATAGTCTGACAGAAGAAAACTGAATGGAACAGAATTAATTATATATTTTTTTCCCATCTAGTAAAAACAGCAAAAGTCCCAACACACAAAACTTACATCTTCCCCAGGTCATAAGCCCAATGAGGAAGAAGCCATTCATTACTTATTCTTATATTCCCAGCACTGAGAATAGCATCCAACATAGGGGCTGAATCATTTCATTGAGTCATTTATTTACCAGCCATATCTAGATTATGGGGACTTGGCCTTGACATATTATGCCATTGGGCATATGGGACCTTGGCTTCCTATATCTAGGGTCAGTCTGTAAAGAGGCATACCATGCATGTCCCTGAGCATACCAAAGGCACAATGTGTGAGCTGCAATAAAAATGGAACCTACACCACTCTTCCTAAAGGCCTTAATTTAGTTCCTGAAGCAGGATGGCTGGTGGTGGGTAGGAATATTGTGTGTCCCAGAGACTAGAACATTTCACCATGCAATGCTTTGTGTGCGTTTCACTCAATAATGCTGGCCTCACTTATGACCTTTCCGCTTGTGCAACTTTTTAAAATTTATTTATTTATTTATTTATTTATTTATTTATTTTGAGAGAGAGAAAGAGTATGCAAGCGGAGAAGAGGCAGAGAGAGAAGAGAGACAGAAACCCAAGCAGGCTCCACACTGCCAGTACAGAGCTCAATGCAGGGCTTGATCCCATGAACTGTGAAATCATGACTTGAGCTAAAATGGAGCCATACCCTCAACTGACTCAGCCACCCAGGTGCCCCATTTATGCAACTTTTATCATCATAAATAATACTGCTAAGGTGACAGTAAAATCTCATATGATCAGCCAGAGTGATACTTTTCAAATGACAGTGGATCATGCCATTCTTCGGCTAAAGCTCTACAGTGACCCCTCCATTTCCCTCAGGTAAAAGCCAATGTCCAGGTAAAATCTGGCCTCCCTCACTTCCCTCACTCCTCCCTCTTGTCTCGGAGCACTGGCAGTGCTCTCCTGCCTCAGCTTTTGTACTATATCGCTGTTACTCTTGTCCTTCCTGTGTTCATTTCTTTGCCTAAAGGTGACTCTCTCAATGTGCTCTATCCTGCTCACCATATTTACAGCTAGAACCTTTCTCACCACATATCTCCCATCCCTCTTATTCTGTTTAATTTTCTGCATAGCACTTACAATGCTCTAACATAGTATATACAAACATGAAATTTAGGACTGGCCTCGCTTTACTAGAAGGTAAATTCTATAAAGACGGGGATTCTTGGGTACCTGGGTGGCTCAGTCGGCTAAGCATCCAACTTTGGCTCAGGTCATGATTTCACAGTTCCTGGGATTCAGGCCTTCATCAGGCTCTGCGCTGACAGCCCAGAGCTTGGAGCCTGCTTCTGATTCTGTCTCTCCCTCTCTCTGCCCCTCCCTGCCTGTGTGCGCTCTCTCTCTCTCTCTCCCACCTCCCCTTCCAAAAATAAATAAATAAACATTAAAAAAAGAAAAAATATATAGTTTAATTTCTCACTGGGATGGAAGAGGAAGGGATGGACCATAGGAGAAGTCATGTTAGAAATATTCCTTCTCCAGAATTTACCATAAAAGATTTTCACAACCACCTAATAAACACTCTACCTGCAAGAAAAAAAAAAAAACTTTTAAGAAGAGATGATCCTTACCTTGAAAGCAATTTTAAGGTTTTCAGAAGAATGATGAATGTCTATGCATGCTACACAGAAATTTGCCAGCAAAGGAAAACTTCTGTCTAGATTTCATCTGTCAAAGCTGCAGGCAGTCTACATCTGCAGAACCCTCCTGGCACTTCTAATGGCATAAATATGTAAATAAATATATAATGTAGATGTTAATATAAATATGTATTTATAAATATATATGCATGCACTTATATACAAATATACACATACACATACACACATACATACACTATAGGAATATCATGTTTCTGTCACCATTTTAGCCCTGTTAACTAGCCCCAAATCACTTACCAGTTTTCAATACCCAGTACATAACTGTAAAAGCCTACCTATATATGAAAGAGTTCCTCATTTATTTTCATAATCAATTTTAATGTTTTATGATTTTTTATAAAAGGGTCTCCAGGACAGAACACCAAATTATAACCTTATGCTTATAGAAAAATAAATCAATTAACTTGAAAACCTTGTTCAAAACAAATTAGGTGAGACCTGGAAGTGGTCAATATCCTCAGCACTATGCCTAGATTGGTTCTAAACTATGATGAATTTCCAATACATATTGCTCTCCACTTCCTCACACTGAGGATATTTTGGTCTTCTGGCGTATAAAAATGGTGTAAGAATCTTGACTGCACAATTAATCATAACAGCAAAAACTGTTTTTAAATCCCCCTGGAAATATGAAACTGTTAAATCACTGTTAATTCCAAATTTAATTCAGTTATATGTCATTTAAATCTATGATGCCATTGATTGTGTGATACATAATTATTTTATGTCACTAAGAAAGAATAAAACACTGCCAATTATAATAGCACAATATCTCTGACTACAAGGAATATCCCAATTTCAGAGATTTTAAGGTGGGGGAAATGTCTATCTAAATCAATGAGTCACTTATTAGTATTTAGGAGAGTTATAACCAAGGTGGCCAAATATTCTCTTTTTCTACCAGAACAACAGTGAGAGGAAATTAATTACTTGAGTAAGCTACTACTTAGTAAGAATGTTCTTATGACACTACAGATTATCAAACACGACACCAGATTCAAGAATAACTGTTGAATAATTCTAGAATGGAATAATTCTGACTTGCATGAGCCATACAATTAATCATGATCCATAAGAACAAGATCTACAAGAAATTGGTCTGGATATAAAAGAAATTACATTTTGGCTACAGTCTTTTTGAAGGAAATATCATGTTTCGAAAAAAGCATTGTCTTAGGATAATATTGGCTCTTCTTAAATTCATGAAGTAATTGATTTTCCCAAATTGTTTTTATTAGAATTCTGAATTTTCACAAAACGCCTTTGTCTAATGAAAATATTCACCAATATGATCTTTTATATCCGATTTTTCTTCATGCTGTGCTCTAATGGGAAACTAGAAAATGTCATTCTAAAAATTGTTTTGACAAATAGCAGGTAAATCGCATAACATAAGCAAGATAATGCTTAAAATGGGAGAGGATTTGGCAGCCAAAGAGCCAAGAAAGAAAAATGAAAACCACTAGTATGAAGATTGAAAGCATTTACAGAATTTCAAGAATGCGTGACTAGATCTTTCAAAATGGGAATTATAAACAATAAGAAATGTCATGCAGCAACTTCATTTTATGTAGAACCATGTAAGTAAATGTACCATTTGATTTAATAATGAAGATATGAAAAAGATAAACTGTTAACAAAATACAGTCTGCCGTGGTGTCTTTCAGTAATGGTGTATATGTTTTAAAAGGAGTAAGTCAATAGATGTAAGATTAAAAAACATTATTCATCTCGTTCACACAGCAGGGTGACTAAGCCTGCTGTCACCGAACATGTTACCTCCCTGCTCCCTGATGGAGTCCCTTTAATAGGCAGAGACGAATGTAAGTGTTAACTATTATATCAACAACAAAAAATAAAAGCAGCTATTGAAACAAATGATCCCACTAATTGAATATGTGTATGTCTTTAGACAGACAGGTATTGATGCCTGAAATTTTTATAATGCCATAGGAATAGAGGTTTACCAATTAAATGACAAATCAGGTTCAATACCAAGTAGGTCTCTCAAGCTTTAGCTGATCCCTCACAGACAGAAGGGCTTAAATATGAGTCAGGGAGTCCATGTGTGTTAATTTTAAACATCAACAGAATCTAAACCATGACTTGAAAAGTTCACTGCTTCCTAACTAATGTTGTTTCAAAAGTAGAAGATAGCTTAAATTATGAATAGGTCAAACTGCCTTGGACATGTCTATAGTAATGTGAGAGGTCTCTAGGATCCAGAAAACCTGTCTGGAATGCAAGACACCTTACTATAAAGACTGTGGCCTTTTTCTTCTCTTAAAGTACCCACAAACCAATGAAGTGTCATTTGGAAAAAGTCACTTGAAAAAAGTCAGAGCATCAATTCTACAAATGAGCTACTTCCAAATTTCCAAAGTTTTGACCCTAACCTATCCTTAAGTCAAAATGGAAAATAAAACTCCCTCTAGTCCCCATTCTTTAACTTAACTTTTCTTTTGTTCCAGTCTGTTCTGTATTCATTGGCTCCCTTTTCCTGAGTCTCTCAATTTTTTCACCTAATTTCCACTCATAGAGAATGATGTGATAAACTTTTGCCAAGTAAGGACCTAACAAATTATTTCTTCTAGTAACATGTACATTTCAAAAGAGAATAGTCTAGGAGATTAATAATGTATCGCTAACACTGGGATTTCTGGAGATGGCTTTTAGGTAATAAAGAACGAAGCTAAGCCTCATTTATATTAAGTTGAACTGTATCTCATATTTCACATACCACAACTACATATCCTTCCAGATTTCATAACCTATTATTAATAATTTTGCATGGAAATATGTAGAATTTTCCAGATTAAATAGAGAAGAAAGTATTCACATATATGGTTTCATGAAACTCGCATGATTCAGTACAAAAGGAGTTTGGTATTACAGAATAATTTCCAGCTCCATCAAGTAGTTCTACAAAATTTTGCAACCAATTATTACAGAATGTTTTCACTCTGTCTATTCAGGACAAGGTAATGAAATGAAAAATAGCAGTCTTTTATCAAGCCTGATGGATTTTTTTGTTTTACTATCATATCCTTTAAAATAGAAAATGTAGCCTGGGGACACCTACAAATGTGTGGCAAATGTCAGAAAAGAAAGAAGTTTTTGTAGTTTATAGTATTTTTAACTCACAGCATTAATTATATGTTTTTGGTCAATATTTTACTTTTAAGTAGCCCCAATTTGTGGCCACAATTTTGGATTTTCAGTCTCTATATCAAGAAACACATAGAGAAAGAAAGAAAGAAAGAAAGAAAAGAAAGAAAGAAAGAAAGAAAGAAAGAAAGAAAGAAAGAAAGAAAGAAAGAAAGAAAGAAAGAAAGAAAGAAGGGAGGGAAGGAAGGAAGGGAGGAAGGGAGGAAGGAGGAAAGAAAGAAAAAGGGGGGGAGGGACAGAGGAAAGGAGGGAGGAAGAGAGAGAAGGAAGAGGAAAAAGAGAAGGAGAGGTTGGAGAAGGGGAGTGATGCCTTTTCTGTACAAGAGACTCACTTTTTTGAATATCAAAACTGGCCAAGACAAACTCCACTGCTGAAATTTACATGGGAGTATGAGGTAATCACCCAGGTTTCTCCATTGAACCACCTTTGCCACAAATTTCATCTCAACTTATTTTATACACAGTCCTAGTTACACACGTAGAATCACAAGGCAAGGTTTAAAACTGCACTGATACCCTGGAGCTATCCCTGAGGTTTTCATAGTACTGGCTGAGGGTGCAGCCTGGGCATCAGATCTGAAAGCTCCTCAGGTGATTTGTAACTGCAGACTCTCAGCATTCATTAAAGGACTGAAAACAGAGCTACTGGGGCACCTGTTTGAGCTGACTGTGCTTGACTGAGCCCCAGACTCAGGGGTTCCTTGAATCCCCCTAGGATCTCCACGTTTATTCAGTGAAATGGGAACAATTGTGGAAGCAGTCTCACATGACGGCTCTGTGACCCACTAATCTCCCTCTCTCCTGACTCACACTGCAGTAGAGGAAGTCACAAACAGCCTAGCCAGTAAAGGACCCCTGCCATTGGGTTGCCTTTCTTTGACTACAGTAAAGACACAGAAACTGCCTTTCAAAAATGCAGATAGTGCAGGAACAAAGCTGCCATCTTGTGGCCTTCCTGGCCATCTCACACTTCTTTCTCCAAAAAGAAGTATGAATGACAACATACCCTCCACTTCATTTACATACGAGACTCAAGCTTAAATATTCCCCTCCATGGTGATGGCGACGGGGGACAGAAGGGACAGCTGTGATGACGGGCAGACCCTGAAGGAAGAGAGGAACCAGTATCCCAGAAGATCAAGTGGAACCACTCTCACCTCAAACATTCTTCCTCCACCTGTCTGCCTTCAAAGTTCGGTGTTAATGACTTTCAGGAGACAAGTTAGCCCAAATGGGGTAAGAGTTGTGTTACCAGGAAGGATCTAATACGCCAGCTCCCAAGTTCAATGTGCAGTAGAATCACCTGGAGGGCTTGTGAAAATCCAGATTGCAGCCCCCCCCACCCCTAAGTTTCCAATTAAGGCGATCTGGCTTTGGGCCTGAGGATTTGCATTCCTAACAAATTCCCAGGTGATGCTGCTAGCCCAGTGACTGCACTTTTGAGAACCACTGGACAACTGTAAAAAAAAAAAAAAAAAAAAAAAATTAGTTAATTGTTAACAGTTCATAATCTAATAAAACCCATAACACCCCTCAGTCAGCTGAGACAAGAATGGGTGAAATATTCATAGACTGACTGAGGCAGTGGCCAAGGTGAAAAGATGATGTCCCTTTGGGAGGAAGGAAGGGAGATATCAGGCGAGTAGCATAAGGGAACCAAAAATACCAGCAAAGGACTGGTGTAGATTAAGACTGGACGGAAAAAAAAAAAAAAAGCCATCTTTATTGTTTTGGCTAGTGTCCTCTAAGAGCCTCTGGGAATGCATGGTCTCTTACCGAAATATCAAATCATCCCAATCCATTTAGTTTAGCAGGGAGCAGACATGATTCGCAAGCCAAAATGACAAGCTAGGATAGATTTCAAACCGAGGGTTTTACAGAGACATAGCAACCAAAGATATACTGGTCTGTGCTCCAATTGCGCCATCTAGTGGAACTTGTTTTACATCAAACAGCGTAAAATGGTACCAGTTTACTTTTTGAAAGGAAGAGGGCCTCATCAGGTGCTAATTGCGATACAATCCAGAAGGGCAACTAAACAAAAACAGTAAATTGTGGCTATGTGAAAGTCATTTTTGCAATCATGCATAATGTGTCCTATGAAAACAGAGCAAAGCTATTAGCTGAGAAATTTGCATACACAGAGAAATATGTACAAATAGCTTTTCCAGAATACACTGGTAAGAAGAGGTAGCAAAAAGGGGGAAATCATATCAAAACACTAGGCTTATATTTTTCTTTATATGCTAATTCCTAAAACCTCCTCATAATAACTAATAATTATGAAAATAAGGAAAATCTCAAGTTCTATATAACTTGTAAAATTCATATAATGATTATATATGTATATGTATATATAATTCATGTGATGATGTATGTAACCACATACCTTATTAAACAGTTGAATAAGCTGAATTCTTTATTCTCTACTATGGACCCTATGAAGAGACAGAGTAGGAAGGAAAAAAGATGCTAAATCACTACTGCTAGCCCTGAGAAGAGAAAGAAAGGGAAAAAAAATTAAAATTTAAAAATTCAAGATGTTAAAAGTCTGCTTCACTGGCCTACAACTCTGTTCTAGGTGAGCTGATAGTTTAAGGGTAAGTAACTACTCACTGAACATTCAGTTGAACATTAATTAACAAAATGCAATTTTATTTTTTCCAATTACTGGTCCAGATGTGATTGTTTGACTACTGCTTTCTAGCCTCTGAGTATCTTAAGCAGATGCCATCAATGTCTGATCATCTCCATGATTTGAAATATTCATAAAACTCGACCCAGCCTAAGCTAGTGACACTGGTGATGCACAGGGGTCTGACCTGACCCTTCTCCTCTGACTCCAATGTCACAAAGCCAACTTGGGATCTTTTTAGAAATGCAAATTCTCAGGCCCAAGTCGAGAGGACAAAGTTCCTCTCAACATTTGTCATGTGCAGTTAAATGCAGGGTCTCGTGTTCTGGGATAAAACAATAGCACACAGTTGCTTTGATACTACATGGCTTGGTCCCAAACTCTTCCTCGGGTATCTTTATAAATATTGTTAATAAAATTTTTCCTAGCCCATATTTCCTATCTCAAGTGAGATTTCAATATGTCCAAGATTTTTAAAATTACATTTAAGAAAGTATATATAACTCTATAGAGAACCCCTGAATATATTATATTTCAGTACCTTCAACTAAGGTTTTATTAAATTGTGTTTCTATTTCATATATCAAGAATCCCTGTTCTAATAAATCTTCATTGAATTTTATATGTACTCAGCGCTCTGCTTTGAGCAAAAGATAAGTATCTTAGGTTGGGTTCCCAAAAGGCAGACTCTGAGATGAAGATTCATAAGTAAGTGATTTATTAAGAAGATGCTCCCCAGAGAAATCAGTAAGGGAGAAGGGAAAGCAGAACAGCGAGAAGCCAGGCAAGGATGTGTTTCAGACTAAGTCCCATGGAGGGTACCCTCACCTTAATCCTGCAGGGAACTCTGACATTTACCCAAACAAAGCAAAGGAGCTGGGCTTTCATATTCCCAGGCACATTACTCATGAGATAAGGAGCCGGAGGTTGGCCTGGCAAAGAAGGTTTACAGGTGCTGGCCATTGGAACTAAAACCATGCCAAGGCTGCAGGATGGGTGAAAAGGTAAGTGAAAGATATACAAGAAGATCTGGGTGGAACACCAACAAAATCTCTAATTGGTATAAAACGTGTTTGCTTTTCATCGGCATATTACATTCTACATGAGTAACAGATAATAATAACAACAACAGATGGAGGCCAGTATTAGACCAAATACAGCCACGTACAAAGTTAAGTTCCAGCTGACATACATTATAGTAAACAAAAAGCAGTGGTTCCCCAAACTTCACTGCACATTGGAATTACCTGGGGATCTAAAACACACCCCCTGGGGGGGTGTAACCTGGGCATGGGAATTTTTTTAAAGGCACCCCACCTCCAGGTGATTCTAATCTTCAGGAAAGTTTGGGGACCACAGCAAGAGAGAGACTATAACTGTTCCCAGTTGGGGAAGAGACATAAGGAAAATGGTGGGGCTTGGACTGGTTCTTAAAACATAGTTAAAATTGGGGAAAAAAGAAATAAGAGGGAGCTGACATGACTGGGAAGTAATGTAGCCTAAGTTAAAAGGTAAAAATTTGGATGACTAATAAAGGAAAATAAGGAAACCAACTTAAAAAGTTCTTGCTGTGACTAGGAAAGACAAGATTTTATAGATAAAGTGAATCCCTGTTACAGTCAGCCCAGAAGTCAAGTAAAATATTTTGAACTTGACCCAGTGGGTAGGCACTGTAGATTTTTTAATAGAGGATTGAAATGATAAAAGTGGTGTTTAAAGAAAACTATTCTAGCAACAATACGAAAGACAGATTCAAATTGCAAGAGACTGGAGTCACTGAGGTCTGCTGAGAGGCCATTTCAGTAATCCTGGGATTTGATAGGGTCTTCACTAGGGCAATAGCTGTCAGAATTGAAAGGAATGCACAAATAAGGAAATGTATTTTAAAGAAAAGATAGGTCTTGGATCCTGGATATAGAAGCTAAAAAGAGGAAGGTATTAAAGATAAGTTTAAATTTAGTAGGCAATGGGAAGTATAAACTGATGTGTTTTTTCCACATGTATATTAACCCCATGACCCACTTTCAGATGGGCTGGGGTACATGAGGTGGATATGCTCTTTTTAAGGTGTCAAAGAAGTAAAAGAGAAAAAAGATACCAAATCCTTTGGTTTAAATAACTAATAATATAATAATAATAAAGATGATTGCACATATAATATCAAAGATTCTCAAGGAAAATCATTAAGAAAGTCTTTTTTTTTTTTTCCTCCCTCCATGCAAACTTTCCCTGGAAAGGAAGAAGAAAATTAAGTAAGAAGAGGAGAATTTAGAGACTCTGAATAAGGACTTGGGACTGCCCACCCTCATTTCTCTACCTCTTCCACATTCCTAAGTACTGTGGGTCAAAAAGAGTCAGAAAGATGTACAACCCTCCTTTATTCTTAGGGACCCAAGGATAGAGTGGAATGTATCCCCTTTATTATCCCACACAATGACATCAAAACTTGTGATTTCTCAGGCACACAGATCTTTTTTTTTTTTAATTTTTAGTGTTTATTTATCCTTGAGAGAGTGAGAGAGACAGAGAATGAGCAGGGAAGGAGGAGAGGGACACAGAATCTGAAACAGGCTCCAGGCTCTGAGCTGTCAGCACAGAGCCGGATGCGGGGCTCGAACCCACGAACCGAGAGATCACGACCTGAGCCGAAGTCGGACGCCCAACCGACTGAGCCACCCAGGTGCCCCTCAGGCACACAGATCTTGATAATGGTCCTATATCTCAATAGGCCTGGAAAGGGGTCCTCACGAAACTTTAGTTTTTTGATAACTGGTAGCCCAAAGGGGTGTTAGGTATGGTGATAAAAAATTACGGCAGCAGACTGTGACAATGGACCTTCAGTTCTCACACTTTAGTGGTACCCCCAAAGACATCTCAGCTAAAGTAAAACCAATGTTGATAAACAAAGATGATGTCAAGAGGATTCTACATCTCAGCCAATGATAGCTTGGGGCAGATCAAGACTGAGACAGAGACCTCGCGCACCAACAATGCATTCTCTGCAGGAAAGTTAAAAAGATTAGGATATCAAATATGAAAAAACATATATAAGTATGTATATAAGAATATAACATAAATATTAAATATGCATGACTGGGAGATCACTGAATTTGATTGAGTTTAACAAGAAGTCATTAAAGTGAGTTTTCCTAGGAGTGATTGGGTTGCTTTGTTACCATGAGAAGGAATAATGCATGGGGTGAAAATATAATTACATTTTCGTTATAGGAAAATAAGAAATGGTACATTTTACACATCCGAATTTTCACTCTTTGAAAATCACACTGACTTCATAAGGTTTTGAGCTAATATGATAGGAAGAATGGCGGCACCAACACAGTGAGCCTTGCTTGGGGGCATGTCAACTTTAAGTAACAAGAAAGGCAGTAGAAATCGTAGGCAGGTTATGTGGAAACACAGAACTAGAGCCAGACTTGAAGATAAACACAAAGTTACAGATTCATTCAGCAGCGATTAGAATGGAGGTGATCATTGAAGCCAGGGCAAATGCACAAAGAAAAGCAAACACCCAAAAGCTCTGAACCTCTAAATTGCTCCTTTAGGACAGAAAAGTAAGCTTTGCATTTTAAATATTGGTGGATTTATTCAAGTATATAAAAGGACATGACATAAAATGTAAAAACTTTCACCCCCTTTGTGTCTTTTTCACTATCTGATTGAACTGAATAAATCATAGGAATTTAGTAGGCTTATTTTTTTAACTATTTATTTTATATATTTATATTTAATATTTTCAAATACTATATATATAGTATCTGGAGGATGAAAGAGAGCTCTGAAATGAAAATGCAAATTGCTAAAATCAACATGACAAAGGTTGAGAGATAAGTTTGAGAACATTTCCCACAATAATCAGCAAAAACAAAACAAAATCCAATAAGTAGATAATAAGAGAGAAATGACAGGAGATGTAAAGGAGACCAGGAGATCCAACATCCAAATAAGAGGAGTCAAAAGAAGGAGAGAAATAGGAGAAGAGAGAAGAAAGAAAAGAGGAGAGGAGGGGAGGAGAGAGGACAGGAGGGGAGGGGAGGGCACAGGTAGGGAGGGGAGGGGAGGGGAGAGGAAGAAAGGAGAGAAAGGAGGAGGGGAGAGGAGAAGATAGAGGAATAAAAATTGTCTAAGAAACAATAAAATCTCCCAGAGTAGTTCCTGCAGTGAATAATATTACATGTTCATTGTATGACAATCTGTTTATTGATTTTTATTTCACAGAAGCAACCCATTGACAAGTCACAAAAGATATCATTTTAATTCTATAATAGAGCATAAATCCTGTGAACCTTGACAATGTTTATATTGTAATTTAATACTGACAGTTTGAGATGTGGACACAGAGGAAGAGACCTAATGTAAGTATGGGAACCCAGTTGTCTTCACATTAAATAGCACAGAGGAAAGAGAAATTCTTTCAGGGTAACAGAATACAAAACAAAGTTCTGAGAATATTATTACAAGTCCTAATAGTAACTAACAGAAACCCTAGAAATAAGATTATATCTGACTAAATATGAGAGGCAGAAAAGATGGGGGTGGGGTAAAACTGTGTGGCCAGGCAAACTTCCTGGGACAGGCAGCCTCCAGGATAGTCGCCAATGATCCCTGCCTCCTGTTATTGAAATCATCCATGAAACTCTATCCCCTTGAGTGTAAAGTGGACTTAGTGACTCACTTGAAACAAGAAGAATACATGAAAGTGATAAAATGTCACTTTGCTTCCTAGATTAGATTATGAAGAGAATTTGGCTCTAGGGTACTCAAGCTATCTCTTCCTTGTTTGTTCTAAGGGAAGAAACCTATTATGTTGTGGTTGCCCACATGACAGGGAAC